TGAAATTATCTAGAATGGCAGCTTCTCAAGTAGACATGGGATACTTACAAAAATAGGTCATATGGTTCAAGAAATGAAGGATCATCAACTCTCAGAACCATATATCCCCATCACATAAACCCTTCCTGATTAAATGTATGTCTAGGGCAGAAAATGAATATGAACTAATTTCAAGAAATTAGAATCATCTAGACATACATTCTCAGACCTGAGCACATCTAAACAATCAATAACAAAGACAACTATAAAATATCCATATGTTTGAAAATTAGAAATGTATGTCAAAATAACACATAGGATAGAGAAGAAATCTTGCTGAAAATGGAAAATATTTTGGCTTAAATTATTGTGAAATGCAACATATTAAAATTTGTGAAATGGCCTAAGCAATTTTTACAGGAAAATTTAGAAACTCAAATGAACATAAGAAGAAAAAGCTGATGATTAATAATCTAAACCATCTCCAAAAGCTAGCACAAAATAGCAAAATAAATTCAAAATAGGATGCAAATAATGGTTTTTAAAGCAAAGTAATGTTTTAAAACATTAAAAATGGGTTTTTGAGGAGTAATAAAAATTGACAAACCTTAGCAAGATAGGTCAAGAGAAAAAAAGAAGGCCAAATTATCAATATCAGGAATAAAAACATAGATATTATAGAACCTATAGACACAAGCCAGGTGTGGTTCATGCCTGTAATCCCAGCACTCAGGAGGCTGAGGCAGGAGGATTGATGCAAGTTTGAGGCCCCAGTCTGAGCTACACAGTGTGCCTGAGGCCAACCTGAACTGCATAACAAGACACTATCATAAAAAAGTAACGCATAGACATTAAAAAGATCATAAAAGAATATTGTAAATAATATTATGCCAATAATTTTAAAATATAAAGTAAATTAGAAAACTGATAGGAAACTCTACCATAAGTATTAACTGAATGAATTATGAGAAAATTAACACATCTGTATTAATACCATATGGTTCAAGAAATGAAGCATCACCAACACTCAGAACCAATACCCCCATCACATAAACCCTCCCCAATTTTTAAATGTATGTCTGATTAAACCCTGTCCCCCATGTCTGACACAAACCCTATGTCCCATGATTAAACCAAGTGTAACTGCTTTCCAAATTGCTAACAGAATATCATCGATTGGTTAAACTGGGTTTTCATTTTATAAATATTCAATCATAGTTTGTATGTTTGGTGTATCTCTTCATTCACTCAACATTTTTCTAAAATTTATCCATGGTACCTGCATTTCAACTTATTTTCATTGTATTTCATCAAAAGTATGGATGTCACATATGTTGCAGCCATTTTCCTCCTAACAGATATTTAAGTTATTTCAAACCTGGGGCTACTATGAATTAAGTGACTATGTGTAGTCTTACATATGTCCTTTGGTGCATTTATGAATATATTTGTGTCAGAAATGTCCCTAAAAGCAGAATTTCTTGGCCACAGTACATATTCTTGTTCAACTTTTTTAGTTAATGCAAAACAACTTTTCAAAGTGTGTTTGTCCTCATTTATATGCCTGCAAAAAGTTTATCAAAGATCTAGGTGCTCTAAATATTCATTAATATCTGCATTGTTATATCCTTCCCCCGCTTTTTTTTTTGTACTGGGGATTAAACTCAGCACCTTGTGCTTGTGAGGCAGGCGGCAGAACCACTGAGCTAAATCCTCAGCCTGTTATATCCTTTTAAATAGCTTCTGCAATTCTGAGTTGATTTTTTTTCAATCTCAACTTTATTGATGAATAGTATCTTTTTGTTTTAATATAACCCAACTTATTGACCTATTTTGTGATATGGTGGGCTGTGTGTTCTGTTAGTTGAGGATCTGTATGTATATAAAAGCAAGGTTATAAATATTTCCATGAGGAGAGAGTTACAATGAAGACTATTTGAGGATCACAAGTCACCAACCTTCATCTATCCAGCAGGCCTTGCAATAGAAGAGGACTCGGCAGCCTTATGGAAGGATGGACTAGGAGAATAGGGGAAACCTAGATATTTGTAGTGAGGGAGTAAAATATAAGCATTACAGATTGTTGCCTTTTACTTGCAAACATTCCACAAATGAACAAATTTATTGAAGTACTGTATGTATCTTTATCAGTATCGAACCCACTGATGAAGAGAATTTTCCCTTGATACAATCTTACATTCATTTACAGCTATTTCCTTATGTGCCTTGTGGAGGAGGGTGCATTATTGAGGATTGAATCCAAGCAAACACTACCAGTGAGCTGCATCCCCAGTCCACATGTAGCAATCTTTAAATAAGTATCACCCACCAACTGTCCCTCCTTTCTCAACAGTTATCTCCAAATAGAGCAGACTGACTGTGCCCAGCAGGTGTTGGGACACAGAACAAACCTCCTAGGACATTTGTCATTTTCAGCTAGTATCCTGGGGGAGGTTGTTACTGCTCCCTTTCTGTGATGTGTCACTGGATTATTCTTATAATATCAGAAAAATCATAAAATCCCATGCTATCTGGGACTTTATTTTCCAAGAAGCCAGCCAGCCTACCTGAATTCCCAGGAGAGTATACACCCAAATTCTCCAGTAATTAGAGTTATTACCCAAAGGTCCCTATTGTACCTTTGTTCCATTTATTATGAAATTCTCCTCACTGTTGAGCTAAAGTCTCTATCCCTATAATTTCTACTTATTACATAATTTATCAACTTTATTATTCAATAGATCATCATATCACTTTGTTAGGTGCTAGACTCTCTCCATTAGAGTAGACCCTAGTTGATGATCTCATAGAGTTAGACATATTGGAATGATGGACTTTTAGTGGGAGAAAAGAATGAGCCATAAATCAAGGAGTTTAGGAGGCCTCTGGAAAGTGCAAAATTCAAGGAAACAGATTCTCCTCTCAGAGCCTCAAGAAGGAAGCAGCCTACTGCTGACAAATTTCTTTAACCCCAGAAGACTTGTGGCCTCCAGAACTTTAGAAAAATAAATTTGTGTTGCTTTAAGCCAGTAAGCTTGAAGTTTATTTTTATAATAGCAATAGGAAGATAACATACAGTACTTAATCCCAAGAGAATTAAATTTCTTGTTTACTATGGTGCAGTTCCAGGAAGTTTAAAAAAAAAAAAGATCTACTCCTCAAAGGGTGGGAAATATAGCAAAAAATCCCACTCATTTACATGAATTCATATTTCTGGAAGAACATCACTTATCACAAATACAAATTTTTCATATACAATCCTAGATTCAAATCCTCTGCTACATGGTATCTTTATGCCTTGTGTATGCCACTAAACCTTTCTGAGTTGTGCATTCTGTAAAAGCTTACAAGCTTTATTTATGAACCTATTATTTCATTATTATACATACCTCACAGAGTTGTTATTATGATTCAATAAGATAAAGAGTATGAAAGGAGGAAAGGGAGAGAGTCCAAATTTATTACAGTGCTAGAAAGTGCCAAGCACAAAATTCTTAAGGAGAAGAACATGGCTGAGGTGGAAACAAGAAACATATACTCCTAAGTGAAATAAATAAGTCACAAATGTACAAATATTGAATAGTTTCTCTGGTGTCAAAAACTATAATGGTACATAAGATCCTAATGGTATAATTGACAATGTGAAATAGGAAGAAAAGGGCTAAAGATATAGGGGAAGTGGGAAGGGTAGGGGAAAAGAAAAAAAAACGTGAGAAAATGGAAATAAAATATTTGTAAATAGGGAAGGGAGGAGGGGGTGAAGGGAGGGAAGGTGTAAGAAAAAATGAGAACCAAAACCTGTCATGTAAAGGTACAAGATCCCAATGATGAATGTAACTGTACTGTATACCTAAAATGTACCAATAAAGTCAATGAGAAAAAAAAAAAGACTTTAATGCTTGCTTTTAAATGAAGTACAGATATGCTAGCTGGAGTCATACACAAGCAAGGCCACCTGGACAAGAAAGGAAGTGAGAAAATGGATTGGAAACAAAACTATCCAATCCCATTCCCTAAATAGTAAACAGAAAGAACCTTGCTATAAAGCAAAGTATGACTGAGATGGTCTGAGAACTAGAGAGAGTCAAGACTAAGAAAAAAGAAAGTGTCCAAATCCTAAAATAGATACAAACATCTCTGGAGAGGTTCGTGCATCTCTTCCTTCAGCTTTAAATTTCTCAATCTCGAGACATTTTCTGGGGACTATGAAGTGCCTATCAATATTGCAAATGCCAAGGCACAGGAAGTTTTTGAAAGTTTCCAAGGAGTAAAGATGAGGCACTGGAGGTTAGGAGCCTAGGGGAATCATGGAGGGAATTCTTTGGAACAGACCACCTCTTGCCCATGCTTTAAAATCAGAATTTTTTCAGTACTAGAATAAGCTATATTTATAACCCACAGACTACATAAACTCTTTCTCTCTGGAAATTTGAAATCTGAGGCACCGAAGTCATCCTATTATACTATTTTTCCATTTCCTTAGAATGCTTAATAGACAAGAGAAAAGTTTCTGGGAAACTGACAATCTCTCTCTCTCTCTCTCTCTCTCTCTCTCTCTCTCTCTCACTAAAAATGACAAAAGGGAGAGGGAAATGAGGGAAAAGCGGCAATGGCAAGAGGATGAGGAGGAAGATCTAACCGAACTTCAGCCCAAAGCATTGACAATGCTCTCCAGCCTGCGCTGCCCACATTACTGCAGGTTGATCACCCACAGAGCAGGAAGTAGGGAAAGGGCAGTTCCACCTCATGCCTTCATTAGGACTCCTTCTGCCCTTTCTATCTATTGTTGCAGGTTGATCACCCACAGAGCAGGAAGTAGGGAAAGGGCAGTTCCACCTCATGCCTTCATTATTAGGACTCCTTCTGCCCTTTCTATCTATTAGCTGTAATTCAACATCTAAGCTTTATAAAAGAAGCTAGGCAAGGGGCCCCATTGCGCAGTTGGGGAAGCATACAGGAAGCTAGTGGCTGTCTTTACCATATCTTGTTCAGAACACTTGCTAACATCCAACAAGCATCCAATGAAGAAAATCCATACTCTGCTCCTCTTGAGCTTCTCTCTTCTCTGCCTTAGAGAGGGTAAGTTTCAGCAGTGGGGAGTGAAGGGAGGTATCCATCTTAGGGGGGTTATTCTCTAAACCCCTACTCTCTAAGACTCAGGCATTGAAATTCAAACCTCAGACAGTACAATCTGTGTTTCTGGATACTACAGTGATAATATATGTTGTGCTAATCAAGAAGAAAATGTACAAATTGCAAGGAAACTGGGGACAGTAATTTTTAGACCTAATTTTTATTGACTTTTCATCCACACTTATCCCATTTTCTTGAAACACATTTATCCTTTATTTTCTCCAAGACTCTTAGTTTTCATTTCCTCTCTCTGATTACTTCTCTGTGCTTTGTTTTTTCCAGTACTAGGATTGAACCCAGTGGCACCTTACCACTGAGCTACATACATACTCATCTCTGTCTGTCGGTCTCTATCTATTTATTTATATTTTTTGAGGGAAGGTCTTGCTAAATTACCCAGGCTTGCCTCAAAATTGCAATTCTACTTCAGCCTCCTGAGTAGCCAGGATTACAGACATGCCTGGCTTCTCAGTATATTTTGCAGAATTCTTCATTCTACCTGACCACTAAACATTAAGATTCCTCAAGACTTGACGCTATGCACTGACTCTCCCCTATGTCAACTAATCCCCTTCCATGGTTTTAATTATAATTTATTCTGGAAATGCCCAATTTTTATCTTTAACCAGGTCTCTATTCTGAGCTTCAGTTTTGTATCAACAAATGGCTACTCCAATGGGAAATTAGCCTTAAAACATACCTCTTCTTTATTACTAACCAAAAACTAATGACAAACTGTGCTTTCTACCTAAAATATGTACCAAATACAATAATATTTCTATTTAGTTACCCTTGAACACTTAAGAAGACATTTAATGTGAAATTGTAAAGTATTAGAAGAAAGTGTAGGATTCTTCTTCCATAAATGAAATAATGAGAAAGGCCTTTCTATGATTCAAAAATCTACAGATCTTAAAAGATAACAAATTTGATCACATTCAAATTTAAATTATATCTCATGGTTAAATGTAAAAAAAGCAACTTATATTACAGACAAATGACTAATATCCCATATGTGCAAATTTACCTCTTATTAAAAAAATCAAAAAAAGAAAAGGCCAACAGTCTAATACAAGAGAAGTACAAATTAAAAGAACACTGAAATCCCAATTTTCACCTATCAGATTGTTAACAGCCAGAAGTTTAATATGATATGATATCATTGCAGCAAGATAAGAATTTTTCAAGCATTGATAGCAAGACTATACATAGTAACTAGGCAATGTCTATGAAAATTGCCAATGTTTGTATATAACTCAGCAATTCTACTTCTATAAAATTATCTTACAGTTATACTAATGCCAAATGAAAATTGACTTCTTTGTTTAATAAATAATTTTCAACATTATTAATTGCAGAAAATAATAACAAAAATGTGCAAGCAACTTAAATATATACAAGTAAGGAGCTGGCTAATTCAAGCATGATATAGCTCTTCAAGAGAATATTATGCAGCTAGTATCCACTGCTCAAAAAAATCAAAATGTCTACTGCAAATAAAGTACAACTATCTATCCTTCAGTGCTCCATGAGGGGATTGGTGCCAGATCCTTCATGAATATCAAAATCCATAAATGCTTAAATTCCTCATATAAAATTGCATGGTGTTTTGTATATAATTTATACATATCATTATAAATTACTTATAATACCAAACACACAATGTGTTACATACATCTTTGTTATGCGGTATTGCAGTGATGGCAAACATCTTAGAGCTTTCAGTGATAAACATCCCTTTATGGCATGTGTGCCATAGGTTCGCCACCACTGGTAAGGAATAATGACAAAAATCTGTACAAGTTCAGCATAGATACAGTTTTTCAAATACTTTCCATGGTGGTTGGTTTAATTTACAGATGTGAAACTCAAAGATACAGAGGGCCAACACTACTATCAATCACAAAAGTGGAGCAAAGAGACATAAATATGTGTGTGTGTATATATATATATATATATATATATATATTCATTTGAATATACATAAAATCAATTTGAAAAATACTGTCAATTATAAATACTAAACAAACCTGCACAGTATGTTTGAGCTCACGGGTATCATATGTGTGCATGGTGTGAATGCAGAGTAAAAACTAGGACTTTTTTTTTTAGTGTATTGGTACATTCTAGGTATACAGTACAGTTACATTCATTACTGGGATCTTGTACCTTTATGTGACAGGTCTTGGTTATCATTTTTCCCCATACCCCTGCCCTCCCTTCACGCCCTCCTCCCTTCCCTATTTACAAACACTTTATTTCCATTTTTTTCATTTTCTCATGGTTTTTTCTCTTTTCCCTTATTTCCTTTCCCTTGCCCTTCCCACCTCCCCTACAGCTTTAGCCCTTTTTTCCTATTTCACTTTGTCAATTATACCATTACAATCTTACATACCATTATAAAAACTAGACTTTTAATGAAACCAGAACTATTATGTTATGGCTGAAAAAGATGAAAAGTATTTTTCTCTAACGTATATAGATAAGCTATGAGGCTTGCCTAACAATACCTCCAGGAATAAGAAAACTAGCTTTAGAAGGAAGATCTGAAAGGAGAGTAGAACAAAAGAATAAAATAGTTTTCTGATTATACATTTGCATCCATTGTTGACTTACTAGATGTAAATAGGATCAAATTACTACCCTGCCTAAAGTTCTTCAACAGACTTTTATTGTTCTTGAGAATGAAAGCTATATTAATTTATGAGAACTCAGAAAGTCAAACTTTTGCTACCTAGCCATGCCTTATGACAAAACCTACTCTGCGCCCCAGTTACATTCTCGTTTTTGTTCCTCCACGGACAAGCATCTTTAGATATGCTATTCCCTAGGTGTAAAATGCTCTTCAATGTGTCCACAGCACACTACACCACCTATTTATCTGGCTGACTCTTATTCATTGTCAGGCCTCAGCTTACATCCAATGCCCCAAAGAAGCTTTCTTTGGCTAAATTATGTTAGTTCTTCCCTCTTAAATGCTCTCACCACATGCTTCACTATTTCTTGATACCAAGATGTGTGAAGAAACAATAATTTCCTTGCTTATCTTTTTTTTCTCATTGAGTTTATTTGTACATTTTAGGTATACAGTACAGTTACATTCATCATTGTGATCTCGTACCTTTACATGACAGGTCTTGGTT